TTTTGTGGTAGTGGAAAAAGTTTACAAAGTTTAACTTTGTAACAGCAGTTATAGTCAAAGCTACATTTAGTAAAATAATTGGTCTGATTACTTTGATAGACTACTACTGTATATCAACCTTATTACTTTGGATTGTGTGGTAGTTAGATCACAAAAAAAATCAAAACTACAGTTGAGTGTCAAAAAATAAAAGGCAGGATCATGTGGACAACACTCTTAGGAAAGAAAAGCAACTTTGAATCATTCATGCTGTGTGTTACTTTGTAAAATGTTCAGTGTAAATTAAGTTAGATTTTAGTTGAATGATGATGTAATGATCAAACAGTACAGAGTATTGTAGGAAACTCACAGGTCTGGTGATCAAAGTCAGATAGAAACACAAATTGTATTAAATTGGACTCATCTTGTCGGCAGTATTCATATGGCCAGGCATTTTGTTTTATTTGTTTCCATATTTTGATCATCCAACCTCAAGTGGTAGATATAGTACCGTCTCACACCATGTGTTAATTAATTGTCATGGGTACATCTAACGTAATTATCCAATTAATCAAGAATAAATTCCAAACCATGTGGATTGACTTCTAGTGTATTGTTTGCCGACAATTATTGTCATCAGCAGCCTACACTTTAGCCTAATGCACCAAATTATTAGCCTATCTTAACCCATTTGAAACATTGTGTGTTTGAGCTACATACTTTTGGGTTATACCATTGTATTTGTCTATTTCCTCTACATCCGTAGATATCAGTGTGTGTGATTAATGGAGGCTGAGGTAGAGCAGTGTTTGTGAGACAAGGGCGGATTCCGAAGGGGCCCAGAGACGGGTCTGTTATACAAAAACATCTGTAGAGTCCGAATGGCTACAAACTATTAAAAGCTATCTATGGAAAGCTCAGACTTTCATGAACATGCACATGGAACATGTTTTGCTTTATGATGCTCACATGCTACACAAGTCGTTAGAGGGTAAGGGGTTATTCTATATAGAAGATCAGAGGAAATCCCAGGACTTAGTGTCTATAATAGTGTAATAAGCTCACATACAGTAGTTGCTGTCACAAACTCCACACAGTTGTCACTGACTAGTTGGTATTCATTTCCCAGTGAGCAAACAATTTCTGTACTTACAGCATACATATAAATTCATTTCGATTATGTTTTTGTTTTGGCTGAACTTATTTTTGTATTGATATTTGTCAATAAAACTCATGAATGAAGCTGTTTATGTAATTTTTTTAGGGGTGTCCTACTTGTAGCCCTGGTTGTTTGAAAAGAAAGTAACACTTAATTGTGAGGATAAATATAAGGGCTGGACATGCAGATAAACTAAAGTCAGATAAATGAAAAGCCCATTTTATGCTGGGATCTCGGGACTGATAAGGTTAAGGACATTATCAACGTCAATATTACATTTATTTATAGTCTGTTATAAATATTATATGGGAATGAAAGGCATTTTATCAAAAAATCTAGCCTAATTCTGAACAAAGTAGCCATTTCCATTCGCTATAGAAATACATGTTGAAACGTAAATGCTGAGGATATGGCTTTTGCAAGTGCCAACATCCCTCTCGAAAATGTTGACAATCCCAAAATGCTTGCATTCATTAACACACCTGAAGAACATAAGTGCAGTCTGGTAAAAAAAAACAGAATGCATTTCCATAATAACAGACTGACACACAAGACCAATATGTTCTTCATATTTTGTAGGAGAGCTGGGCGAAGACGTTAATGTTCTTCTGGCTGATACAGTGTATTTACAGGCAGTGAACTATTCAACAGTGTCAGAAAATCATTCAGAGTACCTGCTATTTTATGCGTGCTTTGTGGAGGCGCAGAAGCGTCTCTCTTAAAATACTGTAGTCTTAAAAGAGTTGGAAAAGTTGTTGGGTTGTTATTTTTATAGCGAATGAAAATAGGCTAGCCATTTATGTTCTGAAAATAGTCTACATTTCCCCCTCTACATTTTCTGACATAAAAATGCCTATCATACACATATGTTAAGAACAGACAATGAATACAATGTGAAATATTTTTGTTGATTGATGTTCTCTTATTGTGTAAGGATGAGACTGTTTCGTTATATCCTCCACAACCTTCTAAGGTAGATGCATTCTTCTCAGACAGCATTATTTGTATTTAATTTTTTATATATATGGCTGTCTATACTATCTTTCCATTTATAATCTAATGATAAATTATAGGTTTTGCAGAATATATTGTTGTCTGCAAAGACCATCCCAGCGGGGTATTGGCACACTCTTTTTCCAAGCAATGTTGTGATTTTAAATGTTTGATCTTTTCTGGTTTGATTCATAGTCTCGTCCCTTTAACTTAATTGCTCCATATTTTGTAACCTCCGATGATCAGGGATTGAGTCTGTTGAAGAGCATTAGCTTGAGAAAAGTGTTGTAGAATCACTGATCTAGTATTCCCTGCCAAATAATGGGCTTTGTGCAAATAAGATTTGTATGCTATGATTCTCCTGGTTTGGCTATCCCCCCACCAAACACTCACGCACAACCAGACATTGAATGATTGATTGGAGACAGCTTGTGTCAATTAATGAGCATTTCCTAGTATTTTCTGCCTGCAGGAAACCCAATGGACAATGCTGGAAATACTGGTCAAAGAACACCCCCCCACTAAAAAAACAACCAAAATGCCTGGCCCTAGTCAGATGCCCTGTCTTTTTCCCTGCTGCAAATCCATTCATTCATTCATTCAAGCTTTGTTAAAATCCTGGCTGCGGTCCAATCGAGTAATATTTACCCACTCAGCCCTCGCGTCAGCCACTTTCCCTCAGGGAAATCCCCGTCGAAACCGGATGCAATTTGATTGTCATCTGAAGTGGCGGTCCAATTCACAAAAGTTATCTCCTCGACCCTCGATTTAGCTCGAGGGAGCGAGTGAACAACTTTGATCACATGCAGGGTTGTTATGACCCACAATTCAATGAAAACTGTAGTCATGTGTCAAACTCAAATGTAATCAACATGATTGCATCTGTCAGCATGTGAGAGAAAATTAGTATGCTTGCTTGCTAACTAAAAAATTTGTATAGATGACATTCATTTTAGTGGTGTCAAATAGGAATATGACACTCAAAGTGGCAAAGACTCATAGTGAGGGGCCTATAAAGCATAGCTAGCTACTAGCTACATAAACATTATTTATTTTTTATTTTTATGCATTGGATTAAATAACCAAACTATAAAGCTAGCTAGCCAGCATGGGTAACTGTAGCTAGCTACCTTATAGCTTTAGGTTGGTTGTTATTATGCACAATTTCCAAGCTTTCCCCCAAGGACATTGTCTATCACATCATCACTCTCCCTCGCTTGGGCAAGGGAATTTGAAGGTATACTCGGCTGTAATGATGAAAAAACATCAAATTCAGTCTGTGTTGAAATTAGAGAAAATAAATCATGGTTCTGCAACCTTTTTTTAGTTGCTTTTGTGGTGGAAGGGAGGAACTCATAAGGAATTAAAAATTGTTGGGCTATTATTTGGGGAGAGAAAGATGATGGTGCATCTAGTGATGACAGCTCTTTAAAAGGGTTTTTGTGGTAGTTTAAAACTATGTAGAATAGGTTTGTATGTAGAACTACTGATAGCTAGCTGTAGTTCTATCAAATAAATACACTCTTTAGGCTAACAGTGATCACCATTTCAGCTTGAATAGCAGTGAAGTAGAAGAAAATGTCATACATGTCCTATGGAAGTTAGGATAGCCTGAAGGTGTGAAAGTTGGTTTGGTTTCTCTAGCTTGAACGGTTCACGAATTACTGTTGTTGAGTTATTTTCTGCAAATGTAAATAGTTACAGTTGATAAAGATTATAAAGAATTTTAGCATGAATGTTTTAAAGTTGATCTTCTAACTTAATTGGCCTATGAGCATATATGTATATATTTCTTAACCTTTCAAGTCTATGGCCCTTTTTTTTGCCATTGAAATGCATTGGTATTCATAGCAACGGCTCCGTTTGGGCCTGCTCAATGACGAGACAACAAACAGCTGTAACTTTTGATTGGTAGAAGGTAATTATGTTCTGATTGCAAATCTAAAGAGCAGGGAAGTAGCACAAGATGTCATTCCATCTAACTTTTTGTCTAATCTGTTGGGAAAGTGGTAAAGATGTCAGTTGGTGGAGGAAATGTCGATGACCCAGTTAGTAAAACAGCTGTATCGTTTGATATGTAGACAATATATTTGTTTCCGATTTTGAATAGCAGAGAAGTAGAGGAAGATTTCATACACTCTAGCTTTTTGTCTAAGTTCTTTGAAGAGTGGTCAAAGTAGCTGATTTGTGTCATGAATTACATGGTTTACAGTGAATAGACTAAATTGTTGGAAGTTATGACATCACAATGGGGCCTTTAACATTTTGAGGAAATCCCATGAAAGTGGATGGAGGACAAAAATATTAATAGTTTAAAAAGTATCAAATATATCAAAAAGTTGTGTATAACAACTCAAACCAGACCAGTCTACATGTTTTGAAATGTGAACGTTTCTAGCTTAAACGGTGTAAGAGGAGTAGTGTGCTATCTAGCTTGAATGGTGTATGAGGAGTAGAAGAGGAGTGGAATAATAATAAGAAGAAGTATGTTGAAGATCTAAAGTGGGGACTCTTGCTTCACAAGCACCATTAATTACTGAGTTTATCAGTGTATTGAGGATGGGGAATAAACCACAAACAAATTCAGATGTTAAATGCAGTCGTACAATTTCATATGAACCAACATGTGCATTTGCATCATTATAGAAAGTAATGTACAATCACTGTTTGATGCTCCCACCAAAAAAAAAGGTCATTTACAATGTTTTGACCATGTTGATATTCGTCTGGTTCAACCACTATTTCACCAGGATGTTGCACAGGGCACAGAGTTGCATTAAATACAGTGATGTCTATGTCTGGATCGGGAAGTAGGTGACACACACCAGGTCACCGTTACATAAACACACACGCTCTCTCTCATCCACTCATGGCTCCATATCTCCTCCTTGTCCTGCACATCCTTTTCTCCCTCACTGGAGGTAAGTGAGGGAACACCTTTTATTAATTGCTGTTAATATCAGGGCTCAGTTCCTCCAAGTCAGACACAGTACATTCTGACATTCATTGGACTTGTAATGTTCTGTCTACTTTACCCAAGGACATTATAGTCACATTGTACATTGTCATATTTGGTCTGAAGTGTTGATAAGTGCTGTTTTTAATGATACGTCTCCACATTCAACATTTGTATTTTTCAGCAGTTCTCTTATTCAATTATTTTTCCAGTAAATGACAACTAACTAAGAAATAAAAAATAAAAAAGCTCCCATGTCTATAAATATCATTGTAGATAACAAATATTTGTACCTATATGATTTGTAACAAATTTAGTAACATATTTTACACAAAAATTTTATGCAGGAACATTTTCTTGACATGTTCATGGTTGTACTGCAGTAGTACAGTATCAGAACAACCATCCAGAGAATGTTACAATATACAAAATATTCCAATAAACTTCAACTCATTAATCTTTTCAATTGAAACTAGAGATTGTCTTCTTAGTTTAGGGGTGTAGTATTTCAAAGATAAGTGTGATTTTAATGGTCAAAGTGTTGCCTCTGATCATGGCTAGACTTGGGTGTGACAACATCAGCACTTACGATAGATATCTCAGTCATTCTCTGGTGTCACAACCACATTTGGCCTAATTTCCAAAGTAATTTGGCTGATCAGCTGGTGGGCCTTGTTGTTGTGTAAAATGTATTAATTTAAAACAGTTTTTTGTTGTTGTTGTTGTTGTTGTGTCTACAGGTACCCAGAGTGTGTCCACAGTGAGTCATGTGTCTGTAAAGCAAGGAGGCTCCATCACCATCCCATGTCTCTATGGTCAGATATATAGAAACCATGTGAAATACTGGTGTGGGGGATCTAGTTGGCTAGGTTGCTCTACTGTAGTACGCACTGACCATCCTAAGACCAGTGGTAAGACCTCAATCTCTGATGACATCAAACAGCGAGTCTTCACTGTGACATTGACAAGTATAAGTCCTCATGGAGATTATTATTTCTGGTGTATTGTGGAGAAGACAACGAAAGATGATGGGGTTCAACTGCAGCTATCTGTTACTCCAGGTAAGATGCACTGCTTGCGTGTCCAGTAATACAGAATGAAAGTGCTCAGTAATGTTGCATGGACAACCTGTCGATGAGTGTGTTACTTTTCCCTTTGTAGCTGTAGGAGACAATCACAAATACTTTCACCAAATAAATCCATAGAGGAATATTGCTATGTTATAAAATGGGATTTAACATATCAGTCACTGCTGGTTTTTCCAATGATACAGCAACGTGTGCTTTATCAAACATATCGTCTGTTCTGACCCAGGAGACCCACAGAAATAATTCATTTAATTTAATCTTGAATATATTATTTGATTATTGAAAATGGCTACAATGCAAAAAGGCACAAAATAAGTACATTTGTCTTACAAATTTCATTCAGCATTTGATTGAACTCCATAGACAGTTGAATATTGCTATTATGAGATAATTCACTTTTGTGTGTTACTTTATAGGGGCTAGTGTATCTTTAACAATATTTATAACAATGGTGACTTTAGGAAATCTCCCAATCATATGGGTGTGAGCTTTTATCTGACTCATCATATCACAACTTCTTATCTCCATTGTGTTCAGGTACTCCAGAACTCTATGTGGATCAACAAGAAGTGTCTGGAGTTGCAGGAGGGAATGTCACTGTGCGTTGTTACTATAGTGAACCCGCAACCAGAGGGAGGTGGTGCAGGATGGGTGGGGGTGGAAAATGTCTGCAGAATTCTGGAATTCTAGATAGAACATCTGTGACATTACACCAGCAGACCAATGTTGTCACCAATGGCAGTGTTTTAACGGTGACTATGAGTGCACTGAGGATGGTGAACACTGGCTGGTACAGGTGTGAAAATGGAGACCATCAGATGCCTGTTCATATCACTGTCAATCAACAAACCACAAAGCAAAATACCACCACCTTTAGTAAGTACTGAGCTACAATTATTGGTAAATAATACTTTACTTCCCACTTAGAAGCTAGTTTGAGAAATGATGAAAGTACAGTTTTTTTCTTCAACCTTGACACTGACAACCTTTCCAATGCCATCAGCCCAACACATCTCTGCTGGTATATCCGGAGAATCTGCAGTCTCTTCTCAGCCGCCAGTCAACAAAATCCAGACGTAAGTGTACACAAACACCCCTCAAAGATCACCACTCAATTTAAATGGTTTCAAAACATTGTTCTAACCTACAGAAGGTCTGTGGATGACTTTACAGCTAATTTTGACACTTCTACATTGAAATATGAAAACGAAGATGTTGAGTGGTTATGAAACAGCTGCAAATCTTCAGAGGAAGGAAAGTATAGTATGATGTGTACGCTATCTCTATTAAAAATAAAATAGGGAAGTATCCCGGGGACTGTCTGACTACAATTTTCATAATGACATGACAAAATAATTGTATTCTTCTTATAGTGCTGAGCGATTAACCGAAATGTTGGTTATTTTTAGTTTTTTAAACAACTAATTTTACATTTTAGTCATTTAGCAGACGCTCTTATCCAAATCAAATCAAATCACATTTTATTGGCCACATGCGCCGAATACAACAGGTGCAGACATTACAGTGAAATGCTTACTTACAGCCCTTAACCAACAGTGAATTTATTTTTAATAAAAAAGTAAAATAAAACAACAACAAAAAACTGTTGAGAAAAAAAGAGCAGAAGTAAAATAAAATAATAGTAGGGAGGCTATATACAGTGGGGAGAACAAGTATTTGCAGGTTTTCCTACTTACAAAGCATGTAGAGATCTGTAATTTTTATCATAGGTACACTTCAACTGTGAGAGACGGAATCTAAAACAAAAATCAAGAAAATCACATTGTATGATTTTAAAGTAATTAATTTGCATTTTATTGCATGAAATAAGTATTTGATCACCTACCAACCAGTAAGAATTCCGGCTCTCACAGACCTGTTAGTTGTTCTTTAAGAAGCCCTCCTGTTCTCCACTCATTACCTGTATTAACTGCACCTGTTTGAACTCGTTACCTGTATAAAAGACACCTGTCCACACACTCAATCAAACAGACTCCAACCTCTCCACAATGGCCAAGACCAGAGAGCTGTGTAAGGACATCAGGGATAATTGTAGACCTGCACAAGGCTGGGATGTGCTACAGGACAATAGGCAAGCAGCTTGGTGAGAAGGCAACAACTGTTGGCGCAATTATTAGAAAATGGAAGAAGTTCAAGATGACGGTCAATCACCCTCGGTCTGGGGCTCCATGCAAGATCTCACCTCGTGGGGCATCAATGATCATGAGGAAGGTGAGGGATCAGCCCAGAACTACACGGCAGGACCTGGTCAATGACCTGAAGAGAGCTGGGACCACAGTCTCAAAGGAAACCATTAGTAACACACTACGCCGTCATGGATTAAAATCCTGCAGCGCACGCAAAGTCCCCCTGCTCAAGCCAGCGCATGTCCAGGCCCGTCTAAAGTTTGCCAATGACCATATGGATGATCCAGAGGAGGAATGGGAGAAGGTCATGTGGTCTGATGAGACAAAAATTGAGCTTTTTGGTCTAAAATCCACTCGCCGTGTTTGGAGGAAGAAGAAGGATGAGTACAACCCCAAGAACACCATCCCAACCGTGAAGCATGGAGTGGAAACATCATTCTTTGGGGATGCTTTTCTGCAAAGTGGACAGGACGACTGCACCGTATTGAGGGGAGGATGGAGGGAGCCATGTATCGCGGGATCTTGGCCAACAACCTCCTTCCCTCAGTAAGAGCATTGAAGATAGGTCGTGGCTGGGTCTTCCAGCATGACAACGACCCGAAACACACAGCCAGGGCAACTAAGGAGTGGCTCCGTAAGAAGCATCTCAAGGTCCTGGAGTGGCCTAGACATTCTCCAGACCTGAACCCATTAGAAAATATTTGGAGGGATCTGAAAGTCCGTATTGCCCAGCGACAGCCCCGAAACCTGAAAGATCTGGAGAAGGTTTGTATGGAGGAGTGGGCCAAAATCTGCAGTGTGTGCAAACCTGGTCAAGACCTACAGGAAACGTATAATCTCTGTAATTGCAAACAAAGGTTTCTGTACCAAATATTAAGTTCTGCTTTTCTGATGTATCAAATACTTATGTCAAGCAATACAATGCAAATTAATTACTTAAAAATCATACAATGTGATTTTCTGGATTATTGTTTAAGATTCCGTCTCTCACAGTTGAAGTGTACCTATGATAAAAAATGACAGACCTCTACATGCTTTGTAAGTAGGAAAACCTGCAAAATTGGCAGTGTATCAAATTCTTGTTCTCCCCACTGTATACAGGGGTGTACCGGTGCAGAGTCAATGTGCGGGGGCACCGGCTAGTTGAGGTAGTTGAAGTAATATGTACATGTGGGTAGAGTTAAAGTGACTATGCATAAATAATTAACAGAGTATCAGCAGCGTAAAAAGATGGGGTGGGGGGGCAGTGCAAATAGTCCAGGTAGCCATGATTAGCTGTTCAGGAGTCTTATGGCTTGGGGGTAGAAGCTGTTGAGAAGTCTTTTGGACCTAGATTTGGCACTCCGGTACCGCTTGCCGTGCGGTAGCAGAGAGAACAGTCTATGACCAGAGTGACTTACAGTTAGTGAATGAATACATTTTTTTTTGTTTTTCATACTGATCCCCTGTGGGAAACGAACCCACATCCCTGCTGGCCAAACCCTCCCCTAACCTTGGACGACCAATTGTGCGCCGCCCATGGGTCTCCCGGTCGCGGCCGGCTGCGACAGAGCCTGGACTCGAACCAGGATCTCTAGTGGCACAGCTAACACTGCGATGCAGTGCCTTAGACCACTGCGCCACTCAACCGCAGACCACTGCGACCGACATTGATTCAATAATTTGAATTCCATTTAATTCAGGTTTTTTCTCTGAGCTCAATGCCCACATTGCACAGTTTCTGTAGAGATAAATCAGATCCAGCCTGAACTGTGCAATATAGTAGGGAGTTGTAGTTTCCAACAGGCCAATATTCTACACAGTTTAGCGCATAAAACGTGGTAATTAATTACAATGACAATAATCCATTGCACATCTACTTGTCCGGTCTGTGTTTCTTTTACGCCTGCTACAGAAGAGGCAGAAGAATACACAATCGTGAGGTGATATAGAGAGCAGATGTTGCTTTGCAAGGTATCTCTACCTGATCTAAGTGATTAATAGTTGGTATTCAGCAGTCATAAATGCATGCCTTATTTACTTTGAAGAACTACAAAATAGTGATTTTGTCAGAAAGCATAGGCAGCAGCTCTATAGAGATGAGATGTTGACTTGGAATTAAATAAAGTCAGCAAATAAAAAATAAAAAATATGCACAACTGAAATATTTGATTAAAGTAAAGTCATGTGCATAAATTGTTAATAAGTGATAAGCAGTAATGGGCAGTCACTACCATCATGGGACTTTTATTAATAGTTTAATTCTGTGTTGTTACAGCATTCAAACCAAATAATAGAAAACGAAATCGAAAACCGTGATATTTTCTTATGAATTGAACGGTAACCAACCGACCTCAAAAGCACTAATTGCTCAGCATTAATTATTCTACAGATTGGAACGTACATTCTTCTACCTGCTGAAAGCTGGTAATGCACTGCTCTTCCTCCTGTGCACCATCATTGGAGTGGTGAAGTTTAGGAAAAACCGACATCAAGATGATACCAAGCATGTATAGAAACGAAAGAGGTATGTCTGGAGTGATCAAGGGCCAAATGTACCAATGGTTTGCACCAAATGCAAAGCTTGCACCTTTTTTTCCCAGTACAGGGAGGAAAAAAATGAACTACAATATGCCGCTGTCATTAGGCTTAACCTTAATGTATTTTTATTTATCATAACCTTCATTTGACATATTTGTATACCTTAAATGTTTAATTCCCTTAGAATAAGAATAGGGTATCAGATTATATTCCCAACAACACATCGTACACATTGTATTTTCTATATCAGAAATCTGTCCAAACACCACACATTACCAATAGCAATATCTATACTTGATGTGTGTCCTCTAGCTTTATCTGTACATGATGTAAGATTCATTTTATTCTAATTATTATATTATTATGTGCATGTGTTGTGAAATGAAAGTCTTGTCCAATGTGTCTCTAACCCTTTCCCTGATGATTATTTCTTATGGTTTAATGTAACAAATAACAGCCTGGGTGAACTGTTCCATTAATAATTCCTCTAGCTTTATAAATTAAATACTGTATATCCATGCTAATGAACTAACTTGTTAATAAACATTGTGAATTAAGAAACTAGAACAACACAGGACTCAGAAGTTAATACATGACTGAGGTTATCAATGTGTTGAGGAAGGGGAGTAAACCGCAAACAATCATCAAATAAACCAGCATACAGTTCATTCGGAAAGTATTCAGACCCCTTGACTTATGTTACAGCCCTATTCTAAAATATATATTTTTTTATCCTCATCAATCTACACAAAAAAAAACATAATGACAAAGTGGAAACAGGTTTTTAGACATTTTTGCAAATGTATTAAAAATAAAAAACGGAAATACCTTATTTACATAAGTATTCAGACCCTTTGCTATAAGACTCGAAATTGAGATCAGGTTCATCCTGTTTCCATTGATCATCCTTGAGATGTTTCTACAACTTAATTGGAGTCCACCTGTGATAAATTCAATTGATTGGACATGATTTGGAAAGGCACATACCTGTCTATATGAGGTCCCACAGTTGACAGTGCATGTCAGAGCAAAAATCAAGCCACGAGGTCGAAGGAATTGTCTGTAGAGCTCTGAGACAGGATTGTGTCAAGGCACACATCTGGGAAAGGGTACCAACACATTTCTGCAGCATTGAATGTCCCCAAGAACACAGTGGCCTCCATCATTCTTAAATGGAGGAAGTTTGGAACCACCAAGACTCTTCCTAGAGCTAGCCTCCCGGCCAAACTGAGCAATCGGGGGAGAAGTGCCTTGGTCAGGGAGGTGACCAAGAACCCAATGGTCACTGGTAGAGCTCCAGAGTTCCTCTGTGGAGATGGGAGAACCTTCCAGAAGGACAACCATCTCTGCAGCACTCCACCAATCAGGCCTTTATGATAGCATGGCTAGATGGAAGCCAATCCTCAG